GTCTGATACTTGGTACAAGAAGTCATTCAATACAGACCCATGAGTTTAAGATAATTAAAGACTGAACAACAATTCAATTTGTGATTTTGATGTAGAAGAAGTACTCAATAGATCATTTAAAGATTGAATGACAGTTTCAATAAGTGAATTACCTCAGACAAGAATGTTTGAATATCACACAATCAAATCAAGTTTCTAAGGTAATTTTGAGGAATTAAATCGAACCTTAAGCTTCAATGACCGCCTTGCGTTACATCTCAACAAGTGTTCTGGTTTTGATGCAAGTTGTGTGAACGTCCCTTCAGCGAGACCACTGTTCTTGGAGAACCACATATGCAACATGTGCCTCAATGATTCGAATAAATAATCAATTGGGCAATGCTTAACTGTTTTTGTCACTGCATTCACCGATTCAACAATGTTCGAAGTCATAACCGTGAATCTGTTTGTACGAGAGTGTGACCTTGACCATTTATCAAATCCAACGTTAACCTACAATGAACATGTCAAGAAAAAAAAATCAAACGTTATGCACGTTAGAAATTAATGTGCTAGCTCAAGAATAAATTAATATAATATACACATTTTTAATATGATTTGAATTAGCACTGTCTTTGGCACGTATATCAAATTATTACGTATGTGCATATTCCAATGATTCTATATGTACACTGACTAGATTAAAAAAAAGGATTTCAGGAGATATGTTTTAATTCACTTGAAATGTAATATAAATGCATTATCACACTGCTCAGACATGGATTTGAAGAAAGTTTGTCATTATCAAATAATAAAGTATGACCAGAATTAAAACATAATGTCATCATGAAATTATTGAAGTGGTAGTGTGTAATTTTACCATATCTTTTCTGGTCTCCTTGTTAATCTCGTCAAGTTGTGCCATGTGATATTCGAAATCATGCTTTGTGTATGCTCTCACCGTCAAATTGAAAAGCCTTGTAATTTCGCTTGCACACTTGCCATACGCTTTCCTCAAATTTTGTAGCATATGGTGTACATAAAAACTGTGATGCACCCCCGGGTAAACCGCATTAACAGTGTATTCGATACTTTTATGACGGTTTAAGACAATACACATATCATCACTCTCCCCATATGCTTCCTTAAAACAGCTAAGGAACAAACTCCAAGAGTCGTTGCTCTCCGAATCTCCCCAACACAAAATGCCAATATAAATATAGAATTATTCATGTCCTGGTGCATGCAATAAACAAGCTTCCGTCTTGTCTGCCAGTCAGGAAAGTTGCGTCCACCACCACGACGAGTTTGCAATGAATCCATCCTTGTATGGACACACCCAACGACATGAAAGCATATCTAAAATGTCCATCACTGTCAATTTCTATACCTGTTTTTGTGCCTGAATTTAGGTACATTGGTAATTTAGCAGACGACTGATCTGGATCCCCCATCACCTCTTCCAATGCATGCTCACGAGCTCTCCACGCCTTACCGTACCTCAACGTCAACCCGTATGTTGTTACCATATCATGTATAATATCGATAGGTGTGTAGATTGCCTTTGTCGGCGTGTATTTATGTTTTATGAATTCACCAATAATGGACTTTTTGCTTATCGGTGATCTTATATAACTGTATCCATTATTTGCCTTAGCCACCTCGAAGCTCTAAATTTCCATCTGCATCCCTCGTCTCGACATTTCAACACATGTTCGAGATTGTCAGATATAAACACACTGAACTGAAAGTTATTTTGTATTGCATAGAGTGCAATGCTCCTCTTCATCACATTTTTATCCCTGAAAACCTGGTTTTCTGCAACACATTCTTCACTAGGTTTAGAAATCAAACTGTACATCTCATCGTTCTGTTCTTCATCATCTGGCAGATCAGTCAAATGCATGCTAGCAGCAAACTGATGAATTGACGAAACTGAGGTTGCTGTGTCTATGAGAAGGGAACGTGTAGCTGTAGGTTCCATTACAGGTGCAACTGGTGACATGGCAATGTTCGATATGTTTACAGATCCATCGACATTCATGTTAAACATGTGCTCAATATCAACACTAAGTGCGTGCGCCGTTAACCGAGGATCCTTCCTTTTGTGCTCCATGTAGAAGAAAAGTGAGTTGTCGTTTTCAATCCGTAATGGTGTCATGTTTCCACCAACACCATATTCTATTTTCAAGCTAGCATCACTAGAACTCATCTTCATCTCCCCCAATATCATCTCAACAAGATCCACATACTTGGTACCACTAGACACAAGAAGACCAAATGTTCTCGCATCGCAAGTAATAATTTCATTTACCAATTCCATATCTGCATACAAACAGCAATACACGACACAACATAAGATGATATGATCAGGGAATGAAAGCATACATGTGCATCATACATTCTGTAATATGAATGCATTTTGATATGCATTTAAAACCACATCATGACGATAGATAACATCATGTTATACCATATCAGAACCACAAAATTATTATAACAACTAGCAAATGTTTTTAATTAATCCTAGCAAAATAAGAATTCAGTCAAAAAAGAAATCGATGAAACACTCTTAACTAATTTCATTTCATAGACTAACACATCATAATCATCGGTGTTACACGTATTAGAAATCAGCGAAAGAAGATATGTCACGCTCTAATTGATGAATTGATTAACCAATATCCGAAAAGAAATACTCTTATATTTCAAAAGGGCAACAAATCGGGCATAGAATTCTTTAGGTATTCAATATCACTTTGTATTCCACTTAATCGGTTAAATTTGAATTTCAAATCCCATATAATTAGCTACCCTGTATTGAAGTCTTAACCTGTGACATTGGTCGGATTTTCGCCCGTTACAAAACAAAATATGGAAAGACTAGAAACAGGTAAAAATGATGATATTATGCATGTAATTAGTAAAATGAATATTTTAATATGAATTACAGTAAATTATGGAATAGTTAATAATACACATGTACTTATGAAGATTTCACTAAAATAAATTAGGATCATCATTACAGGTCCATGGTTTTACAAGTCCACTACTGACCTAATATCTAAACTAAACTAAAATTATCCACAAATCATATTTAATGAATAAAAAAAGGCTATATTTTTTACAATCCAAATCATAATTCGGAAAAAATACGACAGCAAATCACATCCAAAGTTTCCAGAAGCCCTAACCTAAACTCTCATTTCTCAAACATTTGACGTCTGCCCTCCACTGCTGAACGAAATCACCGCTGAACGAAATGTGATTCCCATTCGTCGACACCAATCACGAGTCGTCTTTTGCATGTTAGTCTGCTAATTGCTGTCTAAGTTGCCTCTTTCTATCTTTTAGTCAGTCTCAAATTCTCATTCAAGTAATTTTCTTCATTGTTCTTTCCTTTTTTTTTCTCTCTTAATTAGGTGTTCACTATTTATTTCATTGTTCATTAAGTTTTTATTATTTGCACATTCTCCATTAAGTGTCTATTATTTTCTTCACTCTCGGTCAGATTCTTACTTTTTTGTCTCCATTGGTGAAATATTTGTTATTTTTTAACTTATTATGCACTTGTGAGTTGTGATTTGGATAGAAAAATGACTATTTGTATGCCTAGGTGATTAATGAAATCTTTTGTTGTTTGAAAAGAACGAGATGAGGAGTATTGACTGTGTGGAAATGTTAAGAGTTCTCTAACTAATACTACTACATTTCCTTTCTTAAAGTAGTTAGAGAATGAAATCCATCAATTCCCAATAAGTTTGAACTCTATCAATCTTTGTACATTTAAATATATCTTGTTCAATCCCTATCACTAACAAAACGAAAAGAGTTTTAACCAAACTATAATAGCAGAATGTGACTCTACATTTACCAACTGCAATTTTTATGAAGCCTGAAGGGGTGCTGCTGCTTCTATGTTGTTCCTTGTAAAAGTTTGAGTGGAGAAAGCTATTGGCATGTTGCTAATTCTAAATTGCTACTACTTTTTGCATTTTTATTTGTATTTCGAATTTCAGACAAATATGAATGTAATTTAACATTTAACATTATTAGTTATCGTTTAAACTTATACGTTAACTTATTTTAAATATATTACTATAATATCGATCGATAAACTGCAGATTAAAACCGAACCAAATCGCAAATAATGATTTGGTTTGAAAAATAAAATGATTTAGTTTGATTTGAAAAAATTTCAAACTGCGTAAGATAGTTTGAGATGAAAACATGACACAAATCGCCCAAACCGAACCGCTTTCACCCCTAACTTGTTATTTGAGACATTAACTTATTATTTGAGATAACAGAATTACGGAAAATTAATACATCTAATAACAAGTTGCCACATAAGAAAACTATTATGAATAGCATTACCAAATTATAAGTTAGATGCATAACACGTTTTATCATATCCTTGGCCTTCCATTAAATAGCGCATTTGGACTCCGATGATATTTATGTCCAAATGTTATGTCTGCCTGCTTTGAAATTAAAAAGCAAATATTTTTTCTTACTTTTGTATCTATTGTTTTTCTTATGTATTTCAAGTTAGGATGATTAATTTTGTAACCAATTGCCAACTTCGGAAACCAAAACCAACATTCAAAGTTCAAGCTATAAGAATTAAGAGCATCTCCAACGCATTGTCATCTAGAAAGACTTGTTTCCGTAGCATTGATGTCTATTACAGTATTACTTACTCAATTCAAGATATGCAAAATATATATAATTTGACTGATCAAAATAAATCCAGAGTTCGAGACGGAGTCTAAACACAAACCATCCAACGGGATTTGGTGCTCTTATGTCAAAATATTTCACTAGATTCGATTTTTGTAGCTTAATAATGGCTTCCATAATGGAGGGATGCAACAGTAATAATCAAACCTTTGCAAAAATCAGTTTACACGAAAACAGTTGGCGCAATTGACTTGCTAGAAAACTTCTCACGAATAGAATCAAACATAATGCACATGAAACATTTGCACGAGACAGGACGTATACGCAACTCAAGCTCTTTACCTACAGTCTGATGTCGATGACAAAACACCATCAATACCCTACTCAAGCCCACCCGCAGCAAAGAATTTGTACTCTTGTCCTTGTCCCATTGTTTCAGCCAACGGAATCACAAAATCTTGCCATCGGAGTCCTGATTCAGTTCTTGCCTACTCTTACCTTTCTTCATTTTTGCTTTAACCCGAGATTTTGTTATGAGTGTCTGCACCGTGTTAGAAAAATTCCCAACGGCCATGATTATAAGAAGAATCCCACATGTAATAACCTGAAATAGTGCGTTATAATAATACCTGATTAAGTGTGATACCAATTGAAATTGGAAAAAATCATTCGAGGAAAGTTTAAAAACACTGCAGTAGACTGCAAGTTGCAAAGAGTTCCTAGTACCAAAACATATACAAGATTTATTTATATACCTGCCACTCAAAAACAAATCGAGTAACTGCAGTTTTCAGCAATAAGACTCCAACACATGCTTCAAAACCCTGAAACCCCAGAACAAAATAGCCGAAGGAATTTATGCTGAAGATGAAATAAATCTATCAACATGACAAAATGTGGCCATCCAAAAGATCAAGACGGTTGAGCAAAACTTTACCCTTCTAAAGGAAACTAACAGTTTAGCAACTGGTATACCTGCAAGATGAAGAGTACAGGGAACAACAACAATAACTGACCGTCTACTCCAGCTGTTTCTCCCCAGACAACATCCATTCTGCTGGCCTACAATCAAAAGCAACACATTATTAAAATGTCTAAAGTAAAAGATCTCGCAGAAAATTGATGGAAGGGATAATTCAGCTCAGCTGCTACTTTATTATATCAGGCCAGCATTAGTTAGAAAAATATAACTTCAACATTTTCAACTTTTACAATAGAATGAAAAGCTGGAACCTCTGCGGGATCCAGATTGATGAACTCAGAAACTGGAGCTAATTTCAGCCCCCAAAAGGAAGCCACCAATTGATTAAAATTAGTATGATTCCAAGATAGGTGCAATACAAAGTGGTCAAACAATTAGGGAAGATGGAAAAGCAGCGAAAGATGGAACACTAGTGAATTCGAACGAGAAGCTAGGATTGTATAACGTACCTTGCCCAGTGTAATACGTGTATACAGTCTCTGTCTTTGATATCTATTCTGCAGAATCATGGCAACTCCTTGAAAGATTGCCCATATGAGGTACAGTTGTACACCTCTCTGTAATGAACATATTAATTTTTTAATTATCTGAAAAGAGGAAGGAAGAAAAAATGGAAAAAAATAACAGACAAAACTAACAATCCTGCCAATGAATATAAACTTTTGGGTGGATGGATTGGTACTTGGGTTTGTGTGTGAATTCAAACAAAATGGGCAAAACACCTGTTTCTGAGAACAATCAGGCCCTTTCTCTATCTCCCAAGTAAGACTTATGAGGGCCATAGCCATAGCATAATAGTGATGTTTAATCCACCTGCAGAAGAGAAATATGCATTCAAAACACCGTGCAGCTTGTGTACGTGAAAAGATATGACATGTAATGAACATTCGAAATTAACACCTGTAAAACAGAAGATCTGAAAGGAGGAAAAAAAATCTGCTAAGCAAGCACTCTATTTCACTTGAAATATGCATTCAAAGTACTAGGCGCAATGGACATCCCAAAAGGCATAAGTAACCATTCGTACAAACCATCATGTGTCTTAAATGTGGCTTTCCAGTCCTCCTCTAATCTAATCCTAATCTGATGACAAACACTCCATAAATCAATCTTAGAAAACTACAAAGATCATGCCAATTTATCTAACACATATTTAAGATGCGTATAGGAAAGTGATACTTAACAGTGATCTCGTTGATGGCGCAACTATCAACACACGTGCACCAAAAGCCATCTTTCTTAGGAGTAAGTAAAATAGGGATAGCACAAGAACTAAGGCTACAGCGTATAAAACCTTTCTCTAATAAAGTCTCAACTTGCCTATTTAGTTCGAATCTCTTAACGGAGATTATCCTATAGTTGGGATGATTTGGTACCTGGGAATTGGGATTAGATCGATAGTATGTTGAATATTTTGTATAGAAGGGAGCTCATCAAGTAGGTCAGTGAAAATGATATCGCTAAATTTTTCTAGCAAAAGAGTGACCACAAGTGGAAAGTTGTGAGAATTAGAAGAGGAATGTGAGCAAGCTTTGGCAATCAGAGAAAACACCAATCGGGTGTCATGACCCTCACGCTCAAAAATCCTTAAGGGACAAAATCTGGATCCAAGCATCGGCAATACACGTAGGTTTTGATATGGGCATTGGTTTCTTTCGAGGGTTAGTAGGCTTGGCCAGGAGATTAATAGGCCTGCCTGAACAAACTCATAAGTATTGTCACCCAAAGTGTATAACATCATGATTGTAAAGTCAAGAGCGCCCCAAAAGAATGTGAACAACATCCACTGGTAGGACATCACAGTAAATGTCCTTCAAGTAGAACGGGCCCAACTTAAGGGGTACAAGATTGCGATCAATAATGGGTTATGAAGTCTGATCAACCCAAGCCACCTTAAAAGGTTGAGGATGTGGTTCAAGTTTGAAGCTGAACTTGGAAATGATAGACTTGGAGACAACATTCATAGTGCTATCCCATTAACTACCAACTTGCAAGAGTGAGAATTGATGGGATATCCAACCGTATGGGCATGCGCATACATAGGGCCACAAATAAGGTGATTAGAGTGGGATGAGATTGACAAAGGTCACCAGAGTTAGAGGAAACACGCCGTGCATAGGAAGATCGAGAGTACTGATAAGTGTATTTTCTACACTTATTCGGGGCTTAAAATTATAGAATTTTATTGATCTTTTGGCAAAATTTTACATAATTTATGTTATATTGCATTGTGTAGGTAAAACTTTATGTTTGATGAAGAATTGGAGAAAAGAAGCAAAATATGGTGAAAA